CCCCCCCCCCGAACTGGACTGAGAATGTTAGAGCTGAACTAGACTTTGAAGATTATCCCAACCAAGGAAAGCAAACACAGGGTGCTCCAGCTATTATCACTCTATGCCTTGCTGGTTTCAAGTGTCATCAGCTGGTCACAGGACTCTTCTCCCCAGCGGCGAAATCCTTTTCAAGCTAGCTCTCCCAGTAGTCATTACTAGTCTATCCAGGCTCACATACGAGAGGAAAGAAACCTTCTGGTTACTCTTGATCAAGTCCAATGACACCTCCCCCCACTCCCCTCATTCCTACTTTGCTAGTGGAGAAAGATAGGAGCAAGGAAGAAAAGGAATGTTTCAGAGACCTGTAACTAAATGTCCAGGGAACTGTGTTTGAATGCCGGGTCTCCTGCCTCCCTACTGGGGATACTGGTGGGCTACAAAGTCCTAGGGAGAGGGAAGCATGCATGGAAGGAGAGAGGTAACAGATAGAAAGGGATCAAAAGTTCTCCTGAAGCCAGCTCACAGAATGGACAGACAGCAATGTAACTGGATGAGCTAGTCCAAGATCACTCAGCTCAGAGGGGGAGCACAGAATGGCGAGGGTAGTCCCCACTCAGCTCCCCCTCTGAGCTGAGTGATCTTGGACTAGCTCATCCTTTCCAGCTTTAAGAATCAAAGCTCCTGGCCCTGCCAGTTCATGGGTGATCTAGGGAAAATCTCTTACCAGGCTCTGAAACATAGCATGGGCGGAGGGGCAGGGAGCAAGGCCGAGGGGACTCAGGGGGAACCGCTCCTCGCCCCAGGGGGCAGGGAAGACATCTTCGAAGACGGCTCAGGAAATCTGTTGGCTCCTCCTGGGCAGGACTCCTGGGGAAGGGGACCTCAGAGAGTGACCCCGGAGGCTCCTTGCAAGCAGTCCCTTTTTCCTCCCCCTGAAGGCCTCTCACTGCAACCCCAGGGACAAGGAATAGAGCCAGATATAAAGAGAGGGGAGTGCAGGCAGGCTGAGACCAGGCGCAAGAGTCAGAGGGGGCCCCGCCCCAAATGCAGGCCCCTGAGGGAGGAGGGCAGCTCCTCTTACCTGGGTGGGGTTGGAATGGGGGACCCGGCGGCCTCACCTCGCCTAAAGAAGGCCGCTAGGACTCTCAGCGTGTCCTCCCGGAGCCCCAGCTCTTCCGAGCCTGCCATGGGGGCACCTGTGAAAGAGGGAGCTGGGGGATGGACTCCAGGGTTGCACTGCATTGGAGGATTGGGGCCCAAACGCCTAATCCCTGAATAAGGAGAGGATCAGGACTCGTGAGTCCCCAAGGGAGGAAGGGGCCGAGAGTCCGAATTTCTAAGTCCTTTAGGGGAGTTAGGGCCTGGGGACCCAGATTCTTGAGTCCTCAGAGAGAGAAGAGGGATGAGGAGGAAGACTCCTTGATGCTTGGAGAGGAAGAGGCTGGGGACCCGGATTCGTGGGTCTAAGGAAGGGACTGGGAGCTGGACTCTTGAGTTTTCGGAGAAGGGGGATGGGGAATCTGGATTCTTCAGTCTGAGAGAGACGAGAACTTGGGGCTCCGACTTCTGGGTTCTGAAGGCAGATACCAAGCTTCTCAAGCCTTTAGAGAATCGGGAACTACGAATCCCAGCAGGCTTCATGGCAAACCTTCCCCTCGTTCCGCGCTAGCTCGCCGCGCAGCCGGCCTGGGAAGTGTAGTTCCACTATCTGACTGAGGCTGGCATCTTGGGGACCCGGGACGCGTGGATGTCGGGGAAGCGGGACTGAGGTGCCCGCTCCTAGATCCCGGCCTCTCCCCTCCTCACCCCAGCCCCCGCGAACGTCCGGCTTACCTGGTGCCGGGAGCCACCTCCCCCTCCTCCTTCAGTGGACTTGCGTAAACTTTTAGAAGTTCAACTTTCCCGCGCCTGCGCAGTGGGTCGGGTTGGTGCCGGCCCTGTCGCCCAAGGGGCGGTGCGCGGGATGCCCACCTAATTTGCATGTGACGTTCCCAGCATTCCCTTGGCCGGAAGACCTTAAAAGGTATGGTTGGGAAGGGGTGGGGGGGGGACGTCCGGGCTCTTGGTGCCGCCTCTGGCTCAGGAGTCTGTCAACCATCTGAAGATAAAGTTTTTATTTCGTGAAATCGATAGAAAAAGAAAGGGCCACTGCTCTGAAGCTCAGCTGACGAGAAGGAGGGTGTGCAGCTGCAAGTTCGAGAGCTATAGGACCCCAAAAGCAGGGGTGGGTCCTAGCACTCTGCGCGCCGAGACCCTCTGCGTAGGTAGCAGGGCGG